GGGGGGGGGGGGGGGGGGGGGGGGGATGTAATTACAGGTCCTTGCGAGAGAAGAGTATGGGAAAAGCAGTTCCGAGTAGAGCTACAGCTGCAGCACCGGCAATTAGGTAAGTGGTGCCATCAGCTGATACATCTCCCACCGCTGCAACAACAGTCAATGACCTTTTATTCTTGTTCCTCTTCTGGCTGATATTCCATGACGGAAACTTGGAACCAGCAGGCATCGCAGCTGAAAAGCCTGGGCCTGAAACTGGCCATCTTTGTGGTGAAAATCTAGAAAGAGAAGTCTGAATAGGAGTTAAAGTTGCCATCGTTAAACTTGAGCAGTTAATTTTCCACCGGAGAAGGAAATATCGCTACCTTTCCTGGCTGGAGATATATGGAAAGTGACCAGGGTTTCTATCGTTGGATGTAAAAATTTGAACGGAAGTGGATTTTGTGTATGTTTATATCGGCCAGTTTGAATGGATTTGGTTATGACTACTTGGATAAGGCTACGTCGGACAGAAATCTAGATTCTGGAGGTTAAATGGATAAGGTTGGCCCAACGACTTAACTTGAGAGGCTACTTGTGTAAGCCAAGTTTATGCAGTCTGATTTTGGAATTTTATTTTATTTTTAAATAGCATGGTTAAATATAAATTTCGGCGGAATAATATAGTTTATAAAAGTGTATGTGAAAAAGTATAGTTTGAGCTTGTTATGTTTTAAAATAGTGATATTTAGTGAATGTTTTTATTTCTAAATGCAATAACTAAATGCGATAACTAATGTGTTGTATTTAAAAAAAAAAAAAAACAATTTAACATGCCCTGCTTATAAAACATAATATTTTATAAAATTTAAATCCATGTTCAGATTAAAGAACACAAATACACAACAACCACCTCTCTTTAAAAACAATGCCAATAACCTCTCTCTTTCCCCAAAACAAACCCATACATCACTTGTTTTCTCTCTCTTAAAAATATCCATAACTCAAACCCACCGTAGTCTTAAACCTTTTTTGTGATGTTTTTCTCTTTAAAATCTATCAAAAACCATCATTATTGCCACAACTCTAGCACTTTCTAGTTCTATAAGCAATGTAAAAATACTATATTACTATTAATTATATGAGTTTCATATTTAATTTGTGTTTGGTTTAGTTGAACTGAAATTATTATTTAGACTTAAGATTGAATTTAGAATATTTTTAAAATTAATAATAAATTAGTTATAGATGCCATTAATTAGGATTGATTTGATGTAGTTAAATATGAAAATAACATCAATTAAAAATTATATATTTCAATGAATTATATATTACGATGAATTTTTGTATAAGCTGCTAAATAAGGAATTTTATATAACTTGGTTGGAATCAGCTACAAATGCTATCAATTATGCTTGAGGATTCCATGCAACAGAGCATGATGAGGTAGAATTTTAATGAATTACATGTTCTGTTTAACTATAGATAATTTGTTGAATTTGATATATTTTTTAAATTTTTTAAAATTGCTAGGAGTTTGGGTTTGATTTCATGCAATTAAGCATGAAAATATCAATTAGATTTGATATCATGAATTATGTTGAATTCTGATAAAATATGTGTGGCATTAAATTTTGAAAATTTGTTTTGATTTGCTATGAATTTTGATAATTGGGGTTAATTTAATTCAATTTAGTTAAAATTATATCCAATTAACTGAAATTATATATATATATATATAATTTCAGTTAATTGGATATAATTTTTATTTATATGTTTTTCTTTATATATATATATATATATATATATATAGAATTTCTTATAATATCTTTATGTTATGTTAACATTGTGATGCTATTGTTTCTAATATGAGCAGTAGCATTAACTACAATGACAAGAACAATATGTTGTTAAATGATAATTTAGGCATGTTATATACAAAAAAAAAAAAAATGAAATGTCATGGATATAGGTAAAATTATAATGATATTAAAATTTATATAACTTAAAGGTATCATGTGAAGAACACTAGTATTATCTTGTGTCGATTATATATAATGAAAATTTTAAGACTGATGAATTTTTTATTCAAAATGAATTATACATGATGTTGGTGCATATGAGTAGTCGATCAAATTCTTTATGTGTTTTAAGTTTTAAAATTATAATGATATTAACATTTATACAACTTAGAGGTATCATGTAAAGAATAATAGTATTATATTGTATCGATTATATATGATGAAAATTTTAAGACTGATAGATTTTTTATTCAATGTGGATTAAACATGATGGTGGTGTGTATGAGTAGTTAACCAAATCCTTTGTGTGTTTTAAGTTTTTGGTCAAATAGGTATAAATGCATCATAATTTATCTATCTTTCAAGGTTAGTTAGTAAGAGAAAAGGAGTTTATTATCAAATGATTTGCTATAAAAGAGCAATGATACTATATTTAATAATTCATTCGCTAATTTATTTGAGCTAGTGATAATAAAGATGATGAGATACTAAACCCAAATGTGATAGTAGATGTTGATGATAGTATTGATAATAAAATAATACTTCTTGTTTTTAAGTTTGGATATGCTTTTGGCTCTACAATTATTGTTTTTCATGATAGGCATTTAGTTTCTGTTTGTTTGCTGGAAAGTAGTTTTTTTTGGAAAGTGAATTCCGAGAAAATGAATTTCAGGAAAGTAAATTATTTTCTGATGTTCGGTAGTGTAATAAAAAATAAGTTGGAAAGTACTTTCCAGTATTTGGTTATGTCATGGAAAATGAGTTGAAAAATAACTTATTAATGTCTTATTTTTCTTAAGTTTATTAAAATAATGAGGAACAAATCTTACAAATTAAAAAGTTGAATGAGAATGAAATTGAAAAAAAAATATAATTTCATAAATTATCTCATATAAAAAAAAATAAAAAAAATAATACAGATCAAATCTAAAAAATAAAAAATAGAAGATGAAGAAATTAAAATAATAATATAATATTAACATTTCATAAATTATTTCAAATAAAGTAAGCAACAATCAAAAGAATAAGGATCAAATTTGATAGATAAAAAATTTCAATAAAAAATAATAAGGAAAAACCAAATAACAATTATAAAGATTAGAACCAAAGTTAATATAAAAATTAAATTTTAAAAGATGAAATTGAATAATAAATATTTAAAATAAAATATATATAACAATCAAAAGTTTGAAGATCAAATTTGATATAACCAGCAAATAATATGATATTTCTAATTTTTTCACAACTTCCAAAAAATGTTTTTCACCCAAATTTTTCAGGAAAATACTTTCCTGAAAATCAAGCCAAAATTTCCTTTAAGTAGAAAGTGTTTTTCGTTGACTAACTTTTTTAATGGCAAACAAATATAGAAAAGTTTGAATAATGATTTCTTCAAAATCGCTTTCTAGAAAACAAACATAGCTTTAATCATAGGTATTTTCCAGGTGATTCTAATTTGGAGATTGGATAAATATCTAACAATAAAAATAATTTAGTTATATAACGACATGTATAAATCATCTAATGATTTTATTTTATATGATAAATAATGGCTTTATATTATAAACATGGTAAAGATAAGATGATAATCATAATCTATTTTTCACTCCTGATTTTTATGTGTTTTCAAAAATTGTATCTTTGGTTTAATTTAGTTTTTGATATTTAATTTAATTTTTATCATGATTAGGGACTAAAAAATAATAATGGAAGATTATGCAAAAGAGAGGAATAAATGGGAGTATTTAACAAAATTAAAAAAATTAATAAAGAAAAGATCATACACATTAAAAATAAAAAATTAATTAATTGAGAATACACGGTCGGGAAAAAAACAATATAATTAATTAATATTACTTTTCGAGTTTTTTTTTTCAAGGATCTGGGATAAAAAGAGGGGGGATACACATCAAGACCGAGGAGAAGATATTTTTGCAAAGAAAATCCTAATCAAATAACAAAAAGAGACAAGAAAACTCAAAAGAAAATCCAAAATTTGCAAGCTGCCTCAAAATTCCAGGCGTCGTATCTCTCAGCTCTGTGAAGGTGACATACACCTCCGGCAGAAACAGGAAGAAGAAGTCAGAAAAGGCCTAGAAAGACAACCTGTCGCTGGGCGTGCGAAAGTAGGCGCTGATTCTGCCATTTTTCCAACACCGTTCCTTCGCTAAAGTTTGCGAAAGGATAGCAAAAGGTGCTCCTAGTTTGTCTCGGAGTAAAGGTTCTCCAACATAACATTCATGACTAGCTTCTCAGCAAAGTGCTATGCGAAGCTCGACTCCCAAACATTTGAACCCCTCAAAGGAATTAAACATTTAATGCAGAGTAGAAAAGAAATAAGCTTAGCCAAATCAGGTCCCGAATTAGCTGCAATTCTCTAGGTCATTTTCGTCCAAAGTCCTGTTTAAAATTGCATTTCCCACTTATGTATTCGAACCAAATTTTTTTTATCATGATTGTATATGAACCAAATTCTCGAGAAATAGGACACCATAAAAGAATAGAGAAATTATGAAAACAGCAGTTGACATAACTGATATGCAAAACAAATACAAACAATAATGACAAGTAAGAAGATCATGACAGCTCCAACAGCAGTAATCCAAATTCAAAGGCATAAATATCATGGAAGTACTCACTAAGATATATACCTTAATTCATCATCCTAGCAATAAACTTCTAGACACGAGATGGTTAGTGTAAGAAGATCATAATTCTCCTTCCTTTGCCAAAATGAGCTTCTAGGGAACATATTAGAATCTGTCAACTTCTTTTCACTGTATACGATATACCTAACATGTGTAAATCAGTGCTAACCACTGACAATAAACTACAAGGTTTTTTATTTGATGTGATGTCGTAACAAGAATCAGTAAAGAAGACAACCACCTCAATATGAACATGATATAGAGGATGGAACATACAAGAAATAAACTATTTGCTGAACGACAATTTTAACCCGGTGTTTTTCTTGAGATCTTCAAGCACAAGACAGCACCAATTGTTTTCTTCCTTCGGTTCTTTTCAAGCCGACCTCTTGCCATGAACTATCAAGAGCAAATTGAGTTCTGCATATCATATGCGGTTTTGAAGGGGGGAAAAATCACCAACATAATTCTTTTTGTGACAATAGAGAATTATTCATGCCAAACAATAAAAGATAAAAACAAATAAATTACTAATGAGCTTGCAGCTTAGTGGTAGTCTTGCAAATACAAGAGAGGGTTCAAGTCCTACCATCGTCAATCTATCACTAATATCATAAACAAAAATAATGATTAATGAAAACTCGTTCTAAAAGAGGTATATGATTTATGTGGCCAACTAGTTCCACTACGTAGTAATCAGTAATGGACAACCAGGTGACCATGAACAAGATACAAGCACTGTGCACAAGTAAGCAGGCTATTTTCCTTACATAGCTTGTGTTATTATGATGCAGACCACGATGTTAAATTGATGCCACGACCCCATACCAACTTAAAGTTTCTGTTGAAGAATGAATCACTGGAAAGAGATTAAAATTCACACAGCCAACCACATGGTCCAAGACACTCGGAAGAGACATAACCAAGCAAAGTAAACCCACTTCTATTGACAGTTTGGCATAAGCAACTGGAACAACATACTGCAACGACAGTGAGACAGGTACCATGTTATGCACAAAGGAAGAAAAAGAACTCCAAAAATCTTCCATAAGAAGAGGCTTAACATAGCAAAACTACAATCAATAAATAACATTACCGGAAAAAAACGTCATGCATTAAACTATGTAAGAGGATCATTAGTCAAACACTTCTTAAGGCCTAAAATTGACAGAGGAACAGTTGTACACAAGGATTTGTACCTCAGTAACTTCTACAAAGACCCACTCCAAATGCACAACTCCAAATGCACAACTTTCTTCCTCGTCTTCTTATTCTCCCTCTCCCTTGTGAATGAAAACTGATCTCCATCTCAAAATTCTTATCTTCAACATAATTTAAACCAACCTCAAGCTTTGTTATTTACAGTAATCTGAATCATCATACAATATATAGATGTTTTCCCTTTCTTAAGAGGAAGGAGGACAGCAACAAACAATTAATGGTTTTGGTAATAAGATAAGTAACCCAAAGACTCCCAAGACACAACATAACAATTCAGTGACTCATTCTACAGCATCTCACCACGCCTCATGGAGAACCTATCCAACACCATACCAGACCTACTTCATGCTCTTTGACCAGAATGGTTATTTGAACGCCTTCCAATCCTCCTGAAAAACGAGAAGAAATTCCGAAAAGCACGCCCCACTCCTCCACTCTCTCTTGATCTCCTCCCAGCAGGAGCCCATGAAATAATCCTTGGCAAACCCGCATTATTAAATCCACCATCCATCTCCGTAAACACAAGCGGGAGCTCCCTCTCTGCTGCTCTCCTTCCTCCAGAAAACCTCCCAACTGCAAAACTACCTCCGGGCAATCTCCATATCGTTAAACCAACGGTATCCTCATCTGATTCCGGCGAATTTCTCCCACTCCCACTTCCAGTTTCGGTGGGTAACTCATGACGACAAACTGGACACGAATTACGGATTGATAACCAGGGTAAAATGCAATCAGAATGATAAATGTGATTACAAGGCATTTCGCGAGCCTCGGTGTTAATTTCAAAAGCTTCTTTGCAAACAGCGCATTGGGATTCCATAGAAACGTGAGAATTCAGTATTTTTATTACTGGCATCGATTCGATGGCTGCTTTAGAGGCTTGTGGATGATCGAATCGACTTACGCCGTTGATTTCCATTTGAGTCAACTGATCAAGGAGGCGTTCAAACCCAGAATCCATCAAGAGCTCCGATATGCTAGTGGGCAAAGGCCTGAGACCCGACGCTGCACCGTCGTCGTAGTAAAGCTCGAAGTTCCCGGATGCTATGTCGGTAGTGGCACCGCGGAGGATGATGACTGGATTGAAGGGAGAGCGGTCTCCGCCGGTACGGCGACGGGTGCGATGGGCGGCGGTGAGTCGGTGGTGGGGACGGGTGGTGCCGATTTCTTCGATGAATCCGCCGCCGCAGTCGGGGCAGAGAATTGAATCTTGGGTGGGGAGCCGGATGGATAGGTTGCATCTGTAGCACCAGAATGAGGACTCGATTGATGAAGCCATTGTAAATGAATTTGATAGAAATGAAAGACTAAAATACAAGCGATAAGATAGGGTTTAAAGATGGAAGTCAGTCTGGTCAACGGTTTATGCCTGTTTATTTTTATATTTCAAAAATATTTTTTTCAAAATTAATTTTTTTTATTTTAAATTAATATTCTATTAGTATTTATATTAAAAATAGTTTTTAAATAACTTTTTTTTAATAAAAGAAATTATTTTAATTATTTCCTAATAAAATATATTTTAAAAAATAACTATAAACACCCTCCCAATAATACCAATAACCTTAAGCTTTTAACGGATGCAGAGGGAAGGTGCCTCATTCTTGCATATCCGCTTTCGGACATGCTAGCTAGGTCCCACCTCTGTGCTGCCAATGACATTCCAAGCTATTTTACATCGGAAAAAAAAAAAACCCGGCGTTATAGATATATTTTTCTTATGTTATAAAAGTTTTTAATTAAAAATATAATAATTGTTTTTACAAAACTAATTAAAAAATATATAAATTAATAAATCAGTTAATATAAATAATTTTTTTTTAAGAGAACAAGTTAATCTTCAACGTGGAAAACAAAAGGATAAATAAAAAAATAAATATTTAGTTGTGAATAATTTTTTAAGTTTTTTATTTAATTGTGTAATAAAAAAGGTATTAGTAAGACAGACAATAATTTGAATTATGAAAAAACTTTTTTTTAGTTAGATTTTCTTTTTCTATAATTTAAAAAACATATTTTTTTGAAAAATAAATCAATTAAAAGTAAAAAAAAGCCTATTGATTTGATATAAGGAGGGAAAAATGTCTCTCTAATCAAAACTCTATCTTTTTATTCATATGTTTTTTTAAAAACAATATATTTTTAAAAAAATTATTATCAAAATTTAAATTTATCAAATATCAAAAAATTAAATTAAATTTCTATGTAAAATATAGAATAATTTCTATGTAAAATATCAAAAAATATAAAATTAGGGAAAAATTCATATAAAGAATCTTTAACAAGAAATGATCATATAGATATTTTATTTACATTAATGTTAATAAGGAAAAGTTTTTTTAAAAATTAATCATTAGGTTCATATATAACTAGATTGCTTTTTTAAAAATTAAATTTAAGAAAATAAGTGAGCTTAATATCATGTTAATAAGTTGTGTGATCTGAAATAAGGGTTTAAAATGATTTAAGAAAGCTTATATCTTTAACTAAGTAGACATTTTATTTCATGTTGAAGGTAATCATCTCTTGATAAGATTATGCCATTTTATTTTATGTCAAAGGTGATTATCTTTTGATAAACCATTTTATTTTGATTTTAAAAGCAATCACCTTTTGATGGTATTGATATTTTTTTATAATATTGATAAATATTTTTTTATTAATTATTGTCATTTATTTTTTAGTTCTTTTTATTGTTGTTGACCTTCTGTAATAATTATATTATTAGATTAATTAAGTTTATTTAACCTATTCAAATTAATGATACTGGTGCTTAATTTTTCTCACTCCTTTAAAAAAACTCCATCATTATCTAAGTATTTTTTTTTTGTTATGAAAAATTTGATTTAGCTCATTACATAGTATAAACATTCATATAATTATAGATGATAATTTAATTTTAACTTGATCTAAATAAATAAATATTTTTTGAATAATTATTTTATTTAATGGATAATAAATATGATATAAATATTGTTGAACTTTCATGAAACCGTCGAAACCTCTCAAAATACTTGTCTGTATTACTTTCATGAAACCGAAACCTCTCAAAATACTTGTCTGTATTATATTGATAAATTTATAGAATATGTAGATTTTTTTTAACATAATACATACATACATACATATATATATATGTTGACATAAAACATATTTATATGTATAATATTTATAATTTTATAACTATTTATTTTTCTATTTAATAATATATAATCATGAGAAAATGAATATCCATACATACCTGATAACTGGTAAATAATTTATATATATCTAAACTTTTTACCCGAGTATGTTACCGATATAAAAAATTCGGTATTATGCATATATACAGTAGCTAGGGCACCTCTAACATTCTCCGTGAAATAATTGGAGGAAAAAGGAAAAATAGTGACAAAATAAAAAAAAGAGAAAAATAAAAGAAACCAATCAGTCCGTCAAATTCCCAAGACTAATCTTAACCGTCCAAAGTAGGGTGAGTTTATAACCCTAATTTGTCCCTACTATTAAACCTCAACTTCCGCAGTATCTTCGCCCTTCCCCTCAGTGCAGTAGTATCGACAGCAACCAGATCACTTCTTGCCTGCTGCCTGCTAGGTAAATACTGTTTCTTCAAATGCCAAGCTTTTAATGCTCAGATTGAACCTGCTCTATTTTGCTTGTAGCGTCTGTTTTGGCTTGTAAGATAGAATGGGCTGTTTAAATTTTTGGTGTTTGTGAACTGGGTTCTTGTAAAATATTGAATTTTGACATCTCTTTTCTTATATAGGTGCATTCCGTGTCCAAAGTACATGGGCTGTTTTTCTTATCTTTTGTTTTGTACCTCTTGAAAGTATCAAAACTGCTGTTTCGTGTGTTTTACAGTTCATTAACTGTAGATTAGAGTGATGGATTGATGTTTTGATGATGCAATGCAATTGGTTTGTTAGTAAATTGAACGAGGAAGATATAGCGGAGAATAAGATTATGAAAAAGCGAAGTTTTTTTGTGGCGAAAGACTTGTATGGATTAATATTAGGTGTTGGATTCTTGCACTAGGCATGATTATTTTCTAGGCTAGTTCGTTTCTGAACAAAAAAGAATCATACTTGCAGATATATGACTGGAAATTAATTGTTCATTAGGATGAAAGCTCATAATGAATGACCAGCAGGTTGTTCTGATAAATTTGGTTTTGATAATTTTAGTTCAGTTATTAAATCTAATCTCTTGTTGTGGCTAACCAGATCTGTGAAGATGTTCACGACTAGGAAGAAGATCCAAAAGGACAAGGATGCTGAACCCACTGAGTTTGAGGAGACAGTTGCCCAGGTTAGCTCTTTACTTTTATTATCTGTTTTTTTTGGATTCATGTTTTAAAGGAATTAAATATGTTGAAAACTAAAATGCTCTTCTCTGCAGGCATTATTTGATTTGGAAAATACCAACTCAGACCTGAAAAGTGATCTAAAAGATCTCTTTATAAATTCCGCAGTGTATGTTCATAATTGTATGCATGTTCTATGTGAAACTTTTCCATCCTATTCTTTCAATTTTCTGTCTTCCCAGTGGTGCCAGGTCTATTTGCTAAACTTGAACTTTGTAAATGTTGCAGTCAAATAGATGTTGCTGGAAATCGCAAAGCTATTGTTATCTATGTTCCCTATAGGCTGAGGAAAGCTTACCGCAAGGTTCATCTTCGCCTTGTTCGAGAGCTTGAGAAAAAGTTCAGTGGGAAGGTACTATTATCTCAGATTCTTAGTTTTCTACATGTGTAGTGGATGGGGAACAAGGGACCTGAGCTTGCAACCTGAAAGGCTGCAGGTTCAAGTCCTTAGAAGAAGAAACTCAGCATTTGAAGTTCCTATTCATGGTTAATGCTCAAAGTAAATCCCAGTTTCAGTCCATTACTTGTTTGAATCTTAATTATGAATTATGCATCAATTGTTCCTCTGATAATCTGGCAGGATGTTGTTCTGCTTGCTACCCGAAGGATTGTGCGGCCACCCAAAAAAGGGTCTGCTGTTCAGCGTCCCCGCTCCCGTACCCTAACTGCCGTGAGTGAAGCCATGCTTGAGGATTTAGTGTATCCTGCTGAGATTGTTGGAAAGCGCACCAGATACAGGATTGATGGATCCAAAATTAGCAAGGTAGCTTTGACACTTTTAAGTCAAAAGGAACTGAAAATTTGTAGTTAGAATTGTGTTCTTTATCACCATAATCTCTGCCCTTGCCATGAATTCTCCCTTTTTTTGGTTTGCCAGATCTTCTTGGATCCTAAGGAGCGCAACAACACTGAGTATAAGCTGGAGTCATATGCTGGAGTTTACAGGAAGCTTACAGGGAAAGATGTGGTTTTTGATTTCCCTGTAACAGAGGCCTGAAGAACCTGTTGATGAGTTTTTGTACCGTTATTTTATTCAGCAGTCTTATAATTGCAGCAGATAGGATGCTATTAAATTTTTTGACTCTTGAGTCTGCTTGAATGTCTTTTTGAATAGTATAAAACTTTCTTCAAGGTTTCTTTTACTGTGCACTTCGAAGTTCATGTGGTTTTTTCTTATTAAAACTTTTCTATTTGATGGCAAGGAGCCATTGAAACCAGAAATGCTGTAAATCAGGCATTATCTGGGGGAACTTGATGAAGATGTAAAACATTAGACAGGAAGCTCCACAGGGGCCTGGTGGATCCAAGACATTCAATGCTTTTGTAGCTTGTCCATGCCTTCGGACATTTATTTTTCTACAGTTTGAAATTTATTGGAGGGATTATGAATGATAAAGCTAAGCAAGGATGTACTAGATAATAGTTATTAAAGGTGATTGGAGCCAAAATGTTGATCTCTCGGCTTATTGATTTAGAAACACAAAAATAATTTAATTTAAAATAAAAATAAAAAAGAAAACTTAAAATTTTACGAAAATCAGGTTTAATTTGAAGTAAAATAAAAAATAAAAATAAAAATAAAAATAATTTGTTTATGAAAGTATGGTGCAACTACGTTGTAAATTTGAACTAAATATCTTTGGACCTCAAAAGTAAATCAATTTGAGATTTTTAAATTTTAAAGTTAAATTTTTCAAAATAATATTTACTTATTTTTAACTTTTTAAATTAAAAATTATTTAAAAAAAAATATTGCTCAATCAATTATTTATTGGCTGTTTATATGTTCTATGCTTTTCCTAGTCATATATATGAAAATTTGTACATCATTTTTCATTTTCATTTTTCAAATAATGGATAGGGATGACATCAGCATGCTCAATTTCTTTTCTTAAAACAGGGCCCAAGCCCAAGATATGATTGGGCCTAAAAGAAATCATACTAGAAGTTTTTGTTGTGCAGCGGCGCTGAATGTCGAGCTTCGTTTCGCGTAGGGTCTGGAATGCTGGAGAGAGTTCCAGAGTTGTAGTAATGAACCAGGAGGGCTGCTTCTATAGTAGCCAGTCGGTCTTCTTTTCTATTACCTTATCTTCTGTTCGCCTTTCTATTTATATTTATTTCTATTCTTTTCTGTCTTTTTATCTGTCTTTGCAATTGCATCATTCACCGCTACCCTTACTATTATTATTATTACTACTATTATTGTTATTTTCATTATTGTTTTAGAAAAGCGAGAACAACAATATATAGGGTTGGAAGGAAGTAGTTAATAGAAGAAGAAGAAGAAGCATGGCAAAAGATGGACCCAACTGGGACGGATTGCTCAAGTGGAGCCTTGCCCATTCTGATGGGACTTCTTCTAATCGCAATCTCAGGTAACTTTTAATTGATGCTCATCATAACAAGTAGTTGCTGTATTTTTTAATTAATGTTAAAGAAAATGAAATGAATTTAAATTGGATATGTTAGCGAGGAGGATAGAAGATGGTTTATGGAAGCAATGCAATCACAGAGTGTTGATGTAGTAAAGAGGATGAAGGAGATAACTCTTGTGATGCAGACCCCTGAACAAGTGTTGGAGGCGCAAGGAGTTACTCCTGCTGATATCGAAGGTAAGATTGGATGTGAGACCACTCTTTCATTCATTGCCTTTTCCTTTCTGGGTTTTTGTTTGCTTATCATCATCTACTTACCTTGACAGATTTGTTGGATGAGCTACAAGAACATGTTGAAGCCATTGACATGGCCAATGGTCAGTTTTTCCTCTATTTTACATATTATATGGTTTCTCAGATGGCAGAATCCCTCTCTATCCCTTGTTTTTTTGTTCGCTATGCTTTATATTTCAAAATACTGGGTTCCCTGTAGTTTTTCAAATAATGCTTTATGTCCCTTCTTCGCCTGGCCCTTTAGTCCATATTGTTCCATATCAATACCTTATTGTTTGATATTGTTGGCACTTGGCAGGGGAGTCTTTTGTCCTGTGGGTAGGGTAACACTCTGTGCAACACAACTCTATAATGTGATGTCTCTCTTTCTGTTTCTGTTTATTGTAAATTGGTTACATTCTGGAACTTATTGATAAAGTTGGAAATTTGTGGATCATCTACTTGCATGGGTTTGTATCATGACATATTTCTATGAGCTATCTGTCTTTTAATGAATGACGAGTGACAAGTGAGATTAAATTATGCTTGTGGAGTTGTTTTTTCTATGAAAATGTGATTTCATCTTTTCTTGGCTCTGTTACTTATCAATATGCAATAATTCAGTTCATTTTGACTCTCTTGTAAGTATAGTTTCCCTTATCTGCTTGATATATGCATATGTGGCAGATCTTCACTCGATCGGGGGTTTGGTTCCTCTCCTTGGTTATCTAAAGAACACCCATGCTAATATTCGAGCAAAGGCTGCTGAAGTTGTAACCACCATAGTCCAGAACAACCCTAGGAGCCAGCAACTGGTTATGGAAGCAAATGGTTTTGAGCCTCTGCTTTCTAATTTCACTTCAGATCCTGATGTGACTGTTAGAACAAAAGCACTAGGTGCAATATCATGTAAGTATTGTTTTTGGTTGTATGTGTTGATCTTGATTATTAGAGCTTGCCTGTCGGTTTTGTTTTTGCTACTTTCCTTGTTTTAGAAGGTTCCTAATGCGAGATTCATTCATTGTTGGTGATTCACAGCTTTAATCCGACATAACAAGCCAGGTATTGCTGCATTTCGTCTAGCAAATGGTTTTGCAGCTTTGAGAGATGCCCTGGGTTCTGGGAATGTGAGATTTCAAAGGTATTTAGAGTGGTACTCTGTTTTTCTGCAATCAATCTTTCTCTCTGACCACTGATGAATTGTGTGCCACTAATTTATTATAAACAGTTGAAAAAATCAAATCTTTTGTTCAACTGAGAGAAATGAAAGTTCGGTTTTTGCCAGTACTTCCATGACTTACTGAATTGATTCTTGATTTATTTCTCCATTTTAACTTTCTTATAAATTTAATTTTCAGAAAAGCGTTGAACTTGATCCATTACCTACTACATGAGAATAGCTCAGACTGCAGCATAGTCCGTGATCTGGGGTTCCCCCGCATAATGTTACACCTTGCCTCAAGTGAACATGCAGAAGTACGCGAAGCTGCCCTTCGTGGCCTTCTTGAACTTTCTCGAAACAAAATAGATGGGAACACTGGAAGATTATGTGTAGATGATGAAAAATTGAAGCAAGTCCTTGAAGAACGGGTTAATGGTATCAGCTTGATGTCACCTGAAGATCTTGGGGCAGCTAGGGAAGAAAGGCAGCTTGTAGACTCCCTCTGGAATGCTTGCTACAATGAACCATCATCTCTACGTGATAAGGGGCTTCTTTTTCTCCCTGGAGAAGATTCACCACCTCCTGATGTTGCCAGCAAGCATTTTGAACCTCCTCTTAGAGCTTGGGCTGCCAGACCTGATGCTGGTAAAAATCCCGGTACTGAAAAGAAACAAGCACCCCTGTTATTAGGATCGGGCCCTGCACCTGAGGCTGCTAATGTCCTAGGGACCTCAAGTGGTGAAGTCAATGGTGATGAGCATAACAACACCTCTACATAACGCTCAGACAATTTCCAAGGTTGTCAACGTGATCTATATATAGATTTTTGAGTAACTTGTTGTGTCTTTTCCTTATTGTTTTCCACTTATACTGCGCACTTATGCTCTTTGTGGATTTTTTTTTTTGTGCTCGTAGTAAAGTGGGATGGATCGAATATTCATACTAGGTACTCTATATTGTCCCTAGTGTATATTTGAAGTAAAATACCTTGGCTTGAAGTCGTGTTATGTCCTCTCCTGATGGTGTATGTAAATATATATCCACCTCTTGGTTCTAATTTGACTTCAATAGACAGATCCTTTCATTGTGATAATGGAATAGGGATGGTAACTTTGTTCTTTATAACACAAGCACGAATTAAAGATATGTCCATGTTTCTTACTTGGTGTGTTGAGTGTGTGGATTCCACAACCAATGTTTGGGAATTTTGTTGCCGAACTTGATCCTCGGATTGTTATGTATTTTTAAGTTTGGATGACAATCCGATTATTTTGTTCGACATTGCTCCCCGACAATCATCCAGCTGATGTAATATCTTCAAAGCGGGACTTTGGGCTTATGAAATGGTTGTAAACATTTGTATTGTAATAAGGCATGCATTCATGATGAGATCATTATGCTCACAGATTGGCATGGTTTTACATGGCCTGCAGGCTATCTAATTGTACGGTCATTTCCTCATTTAGGTGGACAGTGATGCCAGGAACACGAGAAAGAAAGGCGGTTGAAATGCAGAGCGTCTACTTAGCCCTCTGAAAGGACAGATTGCCAATGAATGTTGATATCCATCATGGTGTAATGGAAGCAAGCTTATGAAAAGAAAGAATTGGACTATATCTCTTAAGTTGTCGGTTCCTTTCTTTAAAGGATCTGTTTTGGCTAGTCGTCATTCCTTTTCAGAATCTTCACGAAGGCAAATTATATGTGGTTGCCATGGTAGTTAGCGATGTATTGTAACAAGCTCGTATCTTTCTGGCAATAGCTCATGTTGCTGAAAATGCTACATTCAATGTTGATTTTCATTTTTAACTGTTATCATTCAATGATGCATATTTTTTTTTTAAATAATCTCCGGAGGGACCATCAACTATCTTCCATCTGAAAGGCTGCCTTCAGTATGAAACTGGGAGCCCTAGCAAGAGTTCCGCTGAAGGAATTGGGTGTGCATATCGTGTAAAGATTATAGCTGCCTGTTTCAGAGGGGTATCTTTTAAAATTCAGAAAACTGCAGTAATATACACTCGAACACTGGAAAAAACCGCTTCTAAAAGTATCAAGACGATCGAAGAAAACAAATTACACGTCCTACAATAGAGGACTCATGGGAAAATTGAAAACGTAAAAACAACTGATTTAACCTTTTGTTTTAAGAAAAAAAAGCTGGGAAGGATAACAAGGTGTTGCTAACACCATTGACTTCTAGACAGCTATAATTAATTTACCTGTGCTGGCTCTCATTTAGGAGGACAGAAGGTAATAACATACCGCGAGGCCCTGCATTTGTTAAGGCTGGAGGAGTCATCAAAGGCATAACTATAGGCCTTTGGGCATATAGCCTTAAATAGATGGGCAAAAAGGGTAGGCTTGCAAGTCTTCGGGTTAGCATAATCCCCTGTGCAGCAATATTTGGCGGATTGCATAGCCAAGCAAGCACTTTTACACCCCACAATTTTGCCATTGCTCTTGACTTCCAGTGCAGATGGACAGCATATGTTTAAGTCGACTTCACACGATGCAACTCCGCAGCCAATTCCGCCCCCAACTGGTGCCATTGAAACTGGCAAATTAAAGCCATCAACTAAACTAACATCGTAGAAATGCAAGGGTGAAGTAGATGATCCTAGAGTCATTTCGACCATGGTTGCTGGGGGAGTACCACCAGTGCCTTGGCAATGAAGTAAGCCTGAACAATCCCCGGTGTCACATGATCCTTTTCCATTATTGTCGAAGGAACATCCTTGCCGACCCCATATCCTCCCTGACCACTTGTCGGGCACATCAATTACTACTTCCTCACCACATCCAAGAAGAAAACCGCCATCTTTCGGCGTAGAGTGACCTGCACCACCAAGTACTCCAGGCCATAGGCTCTCATTGCAGTTATTCACCAATATGAGCTGTTCCCCATCTGCAAACAAGTGTTCAAAAACAAAATTAAAAACACACTTTAAATCCACATAATTCAAGAAGGTAAAATATAAATTAAAGAGCATAGCAATCACTTGTAGTGGAGAATGAAGCAAGCAGGTAGAGGAGAAGAGAAAGCTGGAGAACTGATGAAAAGGACAGCAGCGACATAGTTTCAAATGAACGCAGCAGAATGAAAGATCACAACTAGGAGCTTATTCTTAAGTAAAGCAGTTGATGTGGATAGAGGACATTGTGTAACGATGGATGGCTATGTTGCAGAGTCCCACTGATCTCACTTTTCTTTTCTCTGCTCTCTTTTCACTTTCACTTTCACTTTCAAGATGAAGGGTATATGTGCATTGCTTCCAGTGGGGGTTTCGTTTCTCTATCACTATAGTTGCTCCTAACTTCACTCACTAAATTTGCTAGTTGCCTATAGCTACTGAGCTATAAATATATAGTTCAATTGAATATTGGAGCAAAAGGGGTCTCTCAGAGAGGAATAAATTGCAAGAAAGAATTGTTAATTAAGTTCACAAAATTGCAATTAGCATCTTTCAGAGGATTACACTTAATGTGATCAAAGTACGTTCTGATCATGTGATTTGAGAATAAAACCCACTTCTTTTTTGCATTTTGTCACTATTTTCTAATTCAAGTGGCAGCTCAATGCTTATGGCTTTAATTTAACAATGATAAATATTCATCATTACTAAAGGAAAAAGTTGCAATAAACATTTATCCTCGAATATAATCATTCCTCTCACTTTGTTCTTCTTCTGCCACAAGTTCCTTCCTTTCACCTAGCTAAATCGAGATTAATTAACGGCATAAACTACTCTCTTTTTTTTTTTTTTTTTTTTTTGTAAACAACGACGCATAAACTTCTCTCTTTTTTTTTTTTTTTTATGTAAACAACGACTTACTTGTAAATCACTAGTGGTTTTGACACTTTCTTAATTTACGCGGTTTTTATTTATATAACAATTGGTGGTTGATCTTGATAACCATCAATCGTTATAGGTTGATTGTATTTCGTTCTCTTTAATTTCTTAATCTCTTAAGTTATACTTGCATCCAAAAAATTAATATCTCTAAATTAATTTTTTTAATGTTAACTTTTGTAAACGCATGTTCTATTTGTTGTAATATTGGTAACGGTGCAAGTTTTTCTTTGTGAAAGACAATGGAAAATTTATTAAAATATGGTTAATGAGTATTTTTATGGCAAAATTAAAATGAGATCTACTTATTTTTTTGAGTTAAATTTTTGTTAAAATTTAATTTTCTACATAAACTCTTTAATATTAAAAAATTAATATGATTTAAATAAATTATGGGTGAATAAAAAATTAATCTCAAGGCATGTTTAGTAAAATAAATAAATCTTTTAAAAGAACTCTATCTCATGTAGAAAAAAAATAATTTTTTTTTTATTTTTACAAAGTGAAAAATTTAAAAGTTAAAATTGAGTACAAAGGATACCCAAATTTTTAGGGAAGAAGTCATAAAAAATATAAGTTTTGAGTATGCTCTGAGCTTAAATTTATTGTAGAATAAATTTGAGATCATAAAAAATTATTTTTTGCTAACTAAAATTGGACTTGGGCCTGGTCATGGTGAATGATTTCTTCCAACCCATTGTTTTGTCCACTCTATCCAATGAATGCTGACAATTTTTTTCAAAAGTAATTTTTGTAAATCTAAACAATTTTTTAGTTAGAAAATTCAAATTTATGGCCATTATATTTATATTTAATCCTTGATTTATGACAACTAATTAAAAATTAATAATGATGAGAATTAATTATGATTATTACCATAACTAATTTTTTAGTTTTTTACTTTTCAAAATTCACTATAAAAAAGGGGTGAAGAAGGAAGAGTTTAAAATTAAAAGTTTTTTTCTCCATATTTTTTACATATTATTACTCACCTATTTTTTAGTGTATTTTTTAATGCTTTGTGTTTCCTCCCAAATCTAGAGTTTAAGTCTACTTGAGAGAAAAATAATTGAATTTTTTTATTTTAGTTCAAAGACCTTGTTTAAAAGTGTATTTAAAATAAGATGGTATTGTAGGAATCTTGGAAGACATATTGTAAACATCCTATGAAACTAGTATGAATAAGTTCATAGTTGGTAAATTTTTATATTTTAAGATGGTTGATTTAAAAATCATAATAAACTAAGTTCAAGAGTTTCAACTTATCTTGCATTATATATATGTCTCTAAGAGTGTCTTTCTAAGTAGTTGCGGTCCTTGAAAAATTACCATCATTTTAGAAAGACTTCAATAACTACCTTAAGCATAAATAAAAAGAGATATGAGTTGAAGATTTTATTTAGCAGTTAAAAATATAAAAATAAGTTATCTAAAAGAATAACCAACTCTTCTAGTACCCCCTAAAATAAAAATAAAAATAAAAAATAAAATTACAAAATAAATGGAAAAGTCCCACAATAAGAATCAAAAGAAGAAGCTTGTGTGAGGGGAAAAAGGAATTGCCAAGAAATTCATTGGCAAAATACTTTATTTGTAATAAAACTAAGCATTTAGATAAGGATTGTAGAAATAAGAGTCAACAAGGAAACAATAAGAAAATGATTGCTCATGCTAATATCACTGAGATTGATCACCTCACTAATAAAGTTTTAGAAATAAACATGTCTTATGTTGTTTTCAAAGTCAACCTATTCAATAATGTTGAGTAGTAATGGGTTGACATTGGTGTTATAGGATATGTATGTGTAGAGAAGAAAATGTTTTTTATTTACAATGAAATGGATGAAAAAATACCTTATATGAGGAAATCATCAACCTCTAAGGTGCTAGGTGCAAGAATAAAATTGAAATCAATTTAACAAGAAGATAAATGCAATAATAAATGAAAGAGATAGAGAATATGAAGCATCATTTTAGGAATTATGTTTTCAAAATAGTATTGTTCCCCAAACTACTGCTCCTTATTCACCACAACAAAATCATATTATAAAATGTAAGAACTAAATATTGAAAGAAATAATGAATGCCATGTTTATAAGTTTAGGAGCACCTTAAAACCTAAAACTTATAAGAGGAGGCAATTCTAACTATCAATTGAATGTTTAACAAAGTACCCTATAAAAAGTTAAAAAATATATCATATGAATTGTGGTAAGATAGAATACCTTCATATAAATATCTCAATATGCGGAGGTATCTTATAAAGCTAGCAATACTTGATCCTAAAAAGGTCAAAATATGACTTGAAATTATATATTGTGTATTTATAAAATATGTATACAATAATAATACAAATTAATTTCTTGTACACAAATCAAGTATTAAGGATATTCATCCTAATATTATTATGAAATTAATGAATACTGCATTATTTAAAGATGTGTTTCCATGAAAAAAAGAATGAGAAAATCATTTACTTAAAAGAATGATAGAGACTAGATCAAGTATCATCATCAATCATAAGATGATGAAGTTGAGATTAAAAAAGAATAAAAATAAAAAAATAAGCAAAATATTCAGTCTTGATTCTTTAAGATGCTTATAAGAAAATAAACTCGAACTTGCTCTAGTCTTGTCCGAAAGCTTTTTATTAGAAAGAGGTAATCAATAATAATATTGAATCCATTATGAATAATCATACTTGGAAGCTAGTGGGCCTTCTTTCTCAAAGTAAATCATTAAGCCATAAAACTAGACTTGTTGTTAAAGATTTTAGATAACAAGAAGATGTGAGCAATTTTGATACATATTCATCTGTGTCAAGAATAACTTCCATATGAACGTTAATAGTTATTGCATATATTAACAAGCTTTAAATACATTAAGTGAATGTAAAAACAACTTTATTAAATGGTGACCTTGATAAGAAGGTTTACATAAAACAACTCAAGATATTTGTTGTAAGTGGACAAGAAAAGAAAGTTTGTAAGCTTATTAAATTATTATATGGTTTGAAACAAATACCTAAATAATGACATAAAAAAATAATAAGGTTATGTTTTCAAATGAGTTCAAAATCAATAAAGTTGATAAATATATTTAAATGAAAAACAATAATAAAAGTTATGTCATTTTATGTGAATAATATGTTAATTTTGAGTAATAATGATCACATGATGAAGTTTATTAAGAAAATATTAACTATCAAGTTTGAAATGAAAAACTTACATGTTACAAATGTCATATTAGGAATAAAAATCTCCAGGACATCTAATGAATTATTATTATCCTAATCTCATTCTATTAAAAAAATTCTTGATAAATTTTTTAAAGATAACAGTACCATTGTCAAAAACACCAATTGATATAAATGTATATTTATTCAAGAGTAGAGGTAAATGAATAAATCAATTAGAATAGAGGTTAATTGTACAAGGCTTGATATTACTTACTCAACTAGTAAATGAATAGATTTACAAATAATTCAAATATGAATCAGTGAAAGATAATAAAAAAGATACTCAAATATTTGAGTTACATGTTGAACTATGGATTACACTATATTGGTTACCCAATAATATTATAATAATATAGTGATGCTAATTGAATATCCAATACAAATTATTTAAATCCATACTTGGATATGTTTTTATATTTAGTGGAGAAGCCATGTCATGAAAATCCTCTAAAAAAGCATGTATTACATAATTCATGATGAAATCAAAGTTTATTGCTTTTGATAAAGTAGGAGAATAAGCCAAATGAATTTGAAATCTTTTAGAGAATATTTTATATTGGTGAAAATTAGTGTCATCTATTTATATCCATTGTAATAGTTAGTCAGCAATTAAAAAGTCACAAATTAGCATGCATAATAATAAATTTAGACATATATATTATAAACATGATATCATTAAATATACTCTATAAAGATTTATAAGAATTATATTACTCCTAACAAATATAAAATTCCTAATCCTACACAGTTTTCATTACTAGGCCAAATCAATTCTAAGCTTATAAGGATTTTATTGTCAAGTCCTTATATAATTTGGATTAGAATTTTTGTTATCTCTAAATTTTTTTTTTCTTGATTTTTGGATTTGATATTTTTTTTTAATTAACACTTTATCATTTTTAATACTAGTTAAAAGTTTAATTTGGTTTTCTTTATTTTTAGTTTTTGGTTATTGTCTCGATCTTGTAAGTTCAAAATCATGCCTATGTTGAATTTATATAGACTATATGAATTTCTTGTCAATCCTGATTATTATGCAACATTAGTATAATAGAAATCAAAACTTTAGATTTTCTTACCTTTATGTTTGTTGTAATAGAATGTAAAAAGGTGAAATTAATGGACCTTGATTAGAAGAAATGATTATGCTTGATATACTACTCGCAATATACCATCCTTAATATGGTGTTGTTTCCTATCAAGCTTATATACCACTTCGTTTCTAGCCATATACATTTCAGATGGCCAAACATTTAATCAATCATATACTTTATTTGGCATTCAAATTTAAAAGTACCTTTCACAAGCTCTTTTTTTAACATCCAAACTAAGATTACTTACGGGTTTTTGATTGTCTTTGCTATCCATAGCCTTGCCCTTGTAACTCATAAATTAGAGCCTCATTCTAGGTCATGTGTTTTTCTTGGTTACTTGGTAAATTTTCGTACTTTTTATTGTCTTGACTAAAAACTAAAAAAGTTTGTCTCATCATGTAATTTTGCTTGAAATCATCTTTCCCTACAAACAAATTCTTTCTTCAGAATAATGGGTAAATACAACCTCATTTTCAAATCTTGCTTTTATTTTCCTAGATCCAAATTCAACAGGAAAAAAAATACTCAGATAAAGTCCCTTAGATTGCACTATACTATATTACCTCCATCTATCGTTTCTCCACCATAAAATATAGAGTTGTCTTCACACCTGACTCAACAGAATCCATCTATTCAAGACTTTTCAAGCTATACTTCAACTATATACATGATGTCCTCCACTACTAGTTTCTTACCAAATGGTGTCCTTGACTCAAGCACGACACAAATTATGTTTGAATCCCTTACTTCTTCTTCTTCTAACCATGAGCTGCTTTTTCACAATACTCCATATCCATCCTCATCTAGAATGGTAACTCATGCTCAAAACAATACTTGTGAACTCAAAAAAATATTTGATCTTTATATGTCTACTGCCTCCTCCACATCAGTTTTGATAGAACCTACATTTTTTTCACAAGCTCAAAAACATTAGTAGTGACGAGAAGCTATGTCTAATGAATATAATGCCTTACTTAAAAATTCAACATGGTCTCTTGTTCCTCCTTACCCTACACAAAAATTCCATATGGTCTCTCGATAGAACCGTAGCTCGCTATAAAGCCAGGCTTATAGCTAAAGGCTTTCATCGGCTTCTGGGCATTAATTTCACTAAAACCTGCAGCCCAGTCATCAAATCAGCTTACTATATATCTTATTCTTAGCATTGCAGTGTCTCATGGATGGTCTTTGCGACAAGTGGATGTTAACAATGCTTTATTACAGGGTACTCCAACTTAAAATGTCTTTATACAACAACCTCAAGGCTTTGTTCATTCCCAGTTTCCCAACTATGTTTACAAGTTAAACGAAGAAATCTATGGTCTGAGACAAGCACCACATGCATGGTATACTGAGCTGTGCAATTTTCTTGTTGACAATGGTTTCTTCAACTTAAAGTGTGACACTTCTTTATTCATTCAGCAAACATCTACTATAATAATTTATCTCCTTCTCTATGTCGATGACATCACAATCATAATCACAGGTAGCAATGAGCATGCTAATTGGTTGTTCATTAAAAAGCTTGCAAATCGATTATTCTTCAAAGGACCTTGGTATTCTTCCTTATTTTATTAGGAATTAAAGCCTTTCAAACGACTACTGGACTATTTCTTTCACAAAAAGCTACATTCAAGATGGATCTCTTGCTCATGATGCCACTACGTATAGACAAACGTTGGGTTCTCTTCAATACTTATCTCTCACTCGTCCTGATATTATGTTTGCTGTTAATAAACTCTCTCAGTACATGCACAAACTATCCATCCTTCATTGTGTTTCTGTCAAGAGGATACTAATTACTAAGATATCTTAAGGGCAGTACTAATTATGGGTTATTTTTTAATCAACAACTATCTACATATCTCAATGGCTTTGCTGACGTAGACTAGGTTGGTAAAATTAATGACAAAACATCCACCTCGGCTTATGTTATCTTTCTTGGTGCCAATCCAATAAGTTGGAGCTCAAACAAGTAACCTACTGTTGTAAGACCTTCAATAGAAACAAAATATCAGACCATTGCATCTACTCCTACAGAAGTTAATTGGCTAACCTAACTTATTCAATAACTTAAAACTATTTATTGTGACAATGTTGAGACCACAAATCTTTGTGCTAATCCAATATTTCACTCTCACATCAAACATATTGCCATTAATTTCCACTTTGTTCGCGATCAAGTTGCCATACATTTAATATGAGTTTCTCATGTTCACTCAGCTGATCAATTGGCGCATTCTCTCACAAAACTTCTTCCAAAAAAAACATTTCAAGCACATCGTTCCAAGCATTACGCTTGCGGGGCATGATAGAATGGAAAAAAGGTGAAGTTGATCGATCTTGATTAGGAGCAAGTTTTTTTTTTTTTTGATAATAGTCAATAGTATTAAAAAGAGAATGACTACAAAGATAATAGCCCAGGTTACAAAAGTTCTATCTGCAAAGGAAAGAAAAAAGAAAGTTAAGTAAGAAAGCAGACAAGGTTTTGAGGCTTTGAAACAGGGGTAGGAAAACATGGGGGCAAAAGAAAAGACAATTGAAATCAGCTCCTCCTTTCTGCTGAACCGTTTGTATCACAGCTGATATGAACATTTTTGCCATCAAGGTCCAAAGAATTGGAGTCAAGCCTCAGCCATAATGTGAAAATTCGGTGAACCATGGAAAAACAGAGTTGAAGGTTAGGGGCAGCGCCATTAAAGATGACATCATTCCGATGAAGCCAAAGATTCCATACAATGCAGGAGAACAAAAGCTGCCAATGAGGATTCCAGGTTTTTATTGCAATAAACACATCTTGATTCCTGAAGGGTAAGGGAATCATGCTGAAACAAGAAATCTCCCGTGGATACTTTGTCTTGGACAAGGATTATGCCTGATATGCTGCTATCTGATGTGCACGACATGCTGCCCATAATATGGTGTTGTTGTCTTATGGTAATTGTCTGATTGATTGAGCAAATCTTACTCCACTAATTATGATTAGTAAAGATTGTATATATTCATCATGAATACAAATATAGAATATCATTCTTCTCTCAAATATTCTGTCCATTTTATTCTTCATGTGGAAACATGATTTTAGTGTGCCGATCTTTGTGGTTTTATCTTGCTTCTTTTATTTCAGTAATCTTTTTCAAAAGAAGGCTTGATTTATTGACTGAAGCCATCAAATATGACATCGTACAACAATTAATCAGCTCAGGATTAAGCCTTGTCGTTGTTTATGCAAGTTTTACACTTTTGTAATGGATCTTGCCATCTTGGTACCAGATGATAAGATTTGATAGAAGATCGATAAAGCCGTTGAAAGCTCCAACGTTGAACTTTAAAGGTCCCTTGCCAGGGAAAATTTTTGCAGATATTACCACATGATAAGATTTAATAGAAGATCGTTAAAGCCGGTGAAAGCTCCAACGTTGAACTTTAATGGTCCCTTGCCAGGGATTTTTTCCTTAGCCCTTGCCAGGGAAAATTTTTGCAGATATTTTTTCCTTCACATTCAACCACCACAATGCTCATTTTATCATTTGGTTGGCAGATTATTGAAAGGTGGATATTTTTCCCTTCGCATTCAACCACCACAATGCTCATTTATCATTTGGTTGGCAGATTATTGAAAGGTGGGCAACTTGCATGGAGAAACAACCTGCTATAGATGGTCAAATCGATTAGTTATCTCTTGCAAAGAAAGAGACAATTCAATGTTGATTTGATGCTTCAGAGAGGTTACATGAGAAGTTTCTTTAGAAGGAATGAATGTATCACCTCGTGGCTTGTATGTTTGTTTTGTCTGCTGAGTAGTGTTGTACTTGTACAGTAACCATAATTCATTGGACAATCCTTGTCAAATAAATTTCTGGTGACAATAGAATTACAGATTCTGCAAATTTATGCCAAGTATTTCTCTCTCTTTACCCAATTGTCTCCATACAAAAAAGGGTTTGGGAGAGATTTTCTGTCTTGGGCGCGCCTTTTGACAACACTACTGATAAATATAAATGAATACATGGGGGGTTAAATTTGAGGTTTCCCTATCTGAAATTGTATTCATGTGCCATCTCAACAAGATGCATCAGTCTGGGATTAAAGACTAGGATTGAAATGAAATTTGCATATTACAGAGAAACAATTCATGAACTACAAGAAAGTATTGAATTCCAATGCACATGGAGTTCATAGTTACAACAGAGTCGAGCAAAGTAACACGAGCTGCTGCAGGCTAGTCATCCAATATATTGTTGTATTTTCAGAGAGGAAGATCAAGACCTTTCCCAATATCCACCCCAATCACTTGAAGTATTCCTTTGTTTATTATCTGAAAAGATTAATTAAAAGATCCCATTATTATGATCTTGGTAAGACATAATTATTTCTTTAATTAAGATATTATATAAATGAAATAAAGAAAACTCACCAATTCTACAACGAAAACTCCAATAAGGCCCATCATACAAGCTCTAGAATTCCATATTTCGGCAGTCCTAGTGAATCCAAGAAATGGGGCTTGGAATTTTGGCTCCACTTTTGGCAATTCCACCTGGGATAAAAAAAAAAGAAGACAAAAAAAGAAAACAATCATTTTTATGCACAGGGAATTAAAAAGGAAGTAACAAAAAAGAACCTACAAAAGCAAGAAAAAGAAAGAGCAAAATTAAACAGTGCACATACTCCAGGAGGAAGTTTTGCAGCTTGAATTCTAAAGACCGGCTCCTTGGAGGTTTTGGTAATTTGACTACGATGGTTGAACAGAGAGACTTTCCCGTTATGAGGGTGAAGCGTTACAGGTTTTGTGAGGAGGAGAGAGGATGATGAAAGGAGAGATGAGGGAGTAGCCATTTTGTGTTTTGACTTCTTTCCACCACTCCCTTATCTAATCCCCATTTCAATCTCAATCGAATCCTTTCATGTATTGCCTGGCCCACTTCTTAAGTTTGTGGAGATGGGATGCTCAAGAGATGGGATCGGATGAACGATGGCCCTTTCTTTGCTTTGCTTTTCACACCCTTCGGGTTTTATCTGTTTAAATGCTGTCCATGATGAGCCCCCATTTGTTATTGTGTTTTAAGGGGCAAAATTTGATTTATTTTTAAATTAATTTTGTAATTATGTAATTCAATATAAATCTTTTTTTTTTCACAAGCCACATAAATTATATAAAAAAACATTAAAAAAATATAATTTTATGTAATATTTAATTTTATTAAAAAGTAAACCTTATCTAATTGATGTTAGGATTAGGTTATTACCAAAAAGATCAATCTTGAGTGGACAAACCCCGTGGATAATTTTTATTTGGATTAAATCTTCACATGTGTTTAAATATTTTGTTGAGAAGAAAGTTTTAAGCTAAAAATAAATATGATAAAAAAGTTTTATGTTTAGATAATTGAGATAAGAAATTCATAATCATAATGTTAGAATAAATTACTTTATTATCCTAACAACATAGCCTAACTACTCTCACTTGGAAATATATAAAGACAAAGACAATAAGCAATTCCTTTTAATAAAGGGATTAAATGTAGGGGTTGTTAGTGTTTTGATGATTATCACTTTTTTTAAATAGCCCAACTATTCTTCTTGGTGGAAATATATATGTCTTATTTGTTTTTATTTTTTAAAAATTTAATTTTTTTATTTTTTTTACTTTAAATTAATATTTTTTTAGTATTTTTAAATCATTTTGATGCACTGATGTCAACAATAATTTTTTAAAATAAAAAATATTATTTTAATACAACTTTGAGTAAAAACTACTTTAAAAAATAATTACAAATACATTTTGAAACACGCTTATAGAAATAAATACAATAAGCAAATTTTTTTAATAAAAGTATTAAATGCAGGGGTTATTGTTAGTGTTTTGATAATTATTATTTTTTTTAAAACATGACATGTAAAAAAGTCATGTTTTGTAAATATAATATAATATTTATATATGTTAAATTTTATAATCAAAATTTTTTTATATGTTATATTTTTAAATCATGACATGACATGTGTGTATAAACTGTAATATTTTACCCATATTGTTTTTTGGCAACTATGGTATTACATCCAAAATTTAGATGTGGTAATAGTCTACAATAGCCTGAATAATTAGGTTCAGTTTGATTTAATTTGTTCGGCCCATTTTCTATTACCACCCGATAACTTCATGATTTTTGCAGCAATAATGATTTGATTCCTGTTTTCAAGTGGATTAACCAAAATATGTAGAATACAAATAGCAAAACAACTAGTTGGAGTGATATATTTAAGAGAAATAAAAATGAATAACTAAAATCTAATGTTAATTATTAGATCTCATTAAAACATTGATTCCATCAAGTTAAAAATTCACAAAGTTATTGGCTTGATAGTAAAATTAATATTACGGGTCTAATTTGCTTATTTATACACTAAAACAGTATCAATTTGAAGAAAATTTGATAAAATATTGATGGATATTAGAGAAAGAAAACTCCATTGAGATTTTTTATAACATTGGGGATCTAATTGATAACATCCAGAGGCTTGGAGTTTAATTAAGAATATGTATACTAAATTGAGGTTTTAAACAAAAAGTTGCATATTAGCGGGGGGAAAAAACCCATTAAATAACTTATACCAATGCGATCAAGAAAATATATTTTCATTTATTTTTAAGTAAAATATATTTTAAAAATAACTACTACAATCAAATTGCTTAGATGGATCGTATTTCTAAGCTACGTAATTGATGGGATTAATTGAATGGCATGGCCCCTAATTAAATAAAATGAAAATAAAAAGAAAATAGTATGTCATGGATCGAAATGAGCTCCACCTTGATGTACACTTGATCGATATCCTTCCAAACTAAAAGGAATGGAAGATGGAGTTGTTAGAACGATCCTTAATTTCTCGGCTTGTCTGTATTGGCAACATTGTTTGCCCTAATCAAGGTTTAACAAACACTAAACACTCCACAAATCAACAATTACTTGATCCGTTTCTGCAAACCATCATCCTTAATTGATTTCTCCTGCCACTTTCGCTTCTTATTGCTTGTTTCTTGCTTCTTGTTTGATCCTGAATCGTTAAAGAAGGAGAGATCAACATCGCAGTCGTAAATGCCAATCCGCTCCATGGGCAAAACAGTGACAGGACTTGAAGGACAGCAGTAGGTGTGCTTCTTCCCACAGGCTAGCAAGTTGTACACTGGATTGATTAACTGTGCTTCCATGATGCCATGGCATTTGATCACCACATCATCCTAGTTCATTGATAATGGTGTGAATTAATTTCCAATTCACATTAATTATCCGAATAAGGATTTTCGAGTCTTTAATTACCTTGTGATCGAGAGCATTCAATAACCCTTTAATATGGGCAAGGTGGGCATCGGATTTAGATGGAACGAACTCCTCTAGACTGCACCAGAGAGCTGATATAGCGGTTATACTTGGTGGAAATCCCACCATGCTGCTATCTGCATGCATGCAATATCATTTTAATCATATATATGTTGAGTTTCAAGAGACATCTCTTAGTTATTTTTATTGACTGATCTTCCTGTATATACCATCATCTCGATCAATCAATGGGGATGCATGCGCACACCCCCACGTACCTTGCATAGCTCCAAGAAGCAGCTCAGTGAATCTGCAGGCAACTAAATCCTTCTGCAAGAAGTCAATTTTCATCATCAGCAGCTCTACATAAGAATATGCAGTGGTAGAGCCAAGGCGCCAACCTAGAGCACGTAACAGCACCAATTCCATCCGCTGGATAGTGATTGGTTGGAATGAATGATCCAGGTCTTCCATCTTAATTTAATCACAAGAATAGATCGATGCATAAATAGCTAGTGGCTAGTAATTTAAGCATAATAATCAAGAAAGGCCAACAGTAATTAATGTAACAGTAATCACCTGAATATCATGCAAGCAAGGAGTACGTGTCTCAGTAAATTTGGATGCAACTGATAAGCATGCCACGCACAGCAATTCAACCATCCAACATTTCCAACCCTGGACATCAATGGGATCATAAGATTTAATCAGTTATCTGAAGACAATAACTAATCAAATCCCACAGTTTAAGACAGAAATATAAATGAATATTTAAGAGCTAATCGAACCCTTACATGGCATTGATTCATCGACATGAATCGGTCAAGGTAATTGGCAGCGTTGAAAACAGTTTCAAAAGAGAGACTGAGCCTTTGACGAGACTGAAAACATACATTTGCATAGGATAATGAGAGGGGTGATTGTGAGTTGCACGTAAAAGCAATAATCTATTTGATTAGTATGTTTCTACATATACATGTTGAGAAACAAACCTTGATGAGCCACTGAATGGCTCTGAACCTAGCAAACAACAAATTTTTGGTCCGAAGATGTTCTACGTATCCGGGTTCAGGCATGCAAGTGAACTCCTTCTCCAGGTATATAGAGACGGTCTTCTCACAGTCTTCTTTGGGTGTGTAGAATGAGGAAGCAGCTGCGTAGGTCTCTCCATGGCTATACCACCGTGGTTGATTGTGGTAATCGGGAGTTTCAGGACTAGAAAGCCATACCTCATCACAAAGCAAGCTATCCATATTATTGAGCCAGTGATTCACAGAATGCTCTCTTATATATATATATATATATATATAGAGCTGGAACGAATTAATATTGATCTGTATGGGGACACGGGAAATGGTCTGACATGAAAATCATTCAAGCTAGAGTTATTATGTGTATAAATTATAGCACCATACAGTATATTATCATTAATTTGTGTATGTGCTGTGCATGTAAGAGTGTGTGTGTGAGAGAGAGAGTGGGGATTAGCGGTTTAGGGTAGTTATTAGGAATGGTGGGGTGGTTAGACGTCGTGGATGGATATAGAAAGGTGGACACGACGTCCCTCATGAAATGGGGTAAATGCTGCTGCATGGAGGGTTTTTTTTTTTACTGCAGCAACCAATTGCGTGAGCGCACGAGGATACATAAATGTGCAAGCCTTCATTGTAGGGGAAGAGCACACTGTAGTCATGTACAGGGATTACGAGCAGGAAAGAGGAGCTAGCTGGAGTCTGGAGAGTAGTCGTGGTCTGGGATCGAAAGATATTTTTTTTTTGTTTAAGTGG